CGGGTGAGGTAGCTCTCGCCTGTGTTGATAATGACGGAGTTGGGACTTTTTATTCTATTCCTGATGATACCCTATCCAATATGTGCTCTGAGAAGTGGTGTCAGGATGGACTTGGAGGGGAAGTCATTCCGGAACAGGCTGATCACCCACAGTGAGGAACTCTCGGGCAACTGAGACTTCGGGGGCCGGGGGCCCAGGCTGGGGGGTCAGGAGAGGGAGTGAGAGACAGACACGTGGGCGGGAGGAAGGGCAGCGAGGGGTCCACAGAGAGGGGCCCATAGGGGTTGTGGGGGGGACTGGACGGGACGGTAGGAGTGAGGGGGTCACTCGGGAAAGTAGCCTGAGGAGGAAGTAAGTGGAGACCAGGAGGAGGGGGAGCCCAGAGAGAGGAAGGGGGGCTGAGAGGGAGCGGGTCCTGGGGAGCAGAAGTGGGGGCCGCACAGGAGGAGGCACTTGAGACAGAGACATTGGTTCAGAGGAGAAGAGTTGGGGAGCGAGTGCAGGACAGAAAGGGGGGCTCAGGGATGAGGGAGCAGAGGGGGCAGCCCTGAGTCAGCAGCTGTGGGAGCGGGACAGACGGGAACAGGCAGCAGAGGGGCCGCGGGCGTGGGGAGGGGGAGACGCAGACGTGTGTGGAGATGGAGCCTCAGAGACCAGGAGAAAGAGCCCCTGAAGGGAAGGAGGTTTCAGGAGTTTCATGGTCCAGGTGTAGGACAGACAGAGAGAAAAGGGGAGAGAGAGCAGGGGAGAGCGGGGGACACAGGAAGGGACCACAGTGGAGGGAAAGGGAGCAGGAGACAGAGACAGATCCACAGACAGAAATACATGTAGTGGGAGGAGGGGAACTCTGATCTCGGTGAGGGGTGAGCTGATGGGGTCGTGGATGGTTAATTTTGATACATTGGCTTGTGGCTCTATATGTTTAATTTAACAACTAAGTTGTTTAAACAGATTTGAATGAGAATTACAAATCTCCAGTTCAGAAGGCTTGCAAATTGTATAATTATTTGTTTCCATTTGTAACCTTTATTCACAAAGTGCGAGAGACTGGTATGTTCCTGATGGGTCTCTTGTCATTTTCTGTGATGGTCAGAAAGAGGTGACCTGGGACAAGAAATGACTGAGTCTGCCCCCACATGATGCTTTATCAAGGAATATTAGAAGCATCAATCTTTTTTGTGATCCATGGATTTGCTTTTTCTACCTCTGATATTTAATTCATGTAACTGGTCATTAACTTCTGAAATCAAACTTGGTGACATCTCACACTCACCTGTTATAATATTTTTCTTACTCTAAGGTTGTCTCCACCTTTTTAAAGCTTTAAACCTAGAAATAATTACATTAAAAAGAAACAACCCTAATTGTTTTTGTTTTTGTTTTTAATATATTTTTATTGATTTTTTTACAGAGAGGAAGGGAGAGGGATAGAGAGCCAGAAACATTGATGAGAGAGAAACATCGACCAGCCGCCTCCTGCTCACCTCCCACTGGGGATGTGCCGGCAACCAACGTACATGCCCTTGACCGGAATCAAACCTGGGACCTTTCAATCAGCAGGTCGACGCTCTATCCACCGAACCAAACCAGTTTTGGTTGTTTTTGGTTTTTAATATATTGTGTGCCCCTGGCCGGTTTGGCTCAGTGGATTGAGCATCAGCCTTCGGACTGAAGGGTCCCAGGTTTCTATTCTGGTCAAGGGCATATGCCCAGGTTGCAGGATTGATCCCCAGTAGGGAGCATGCAGGAGGCAGCCAATCAATGGTCCTCTCTCATCATTGATGTTCCTATCTCTCTCTCCCTCTCCCTTCCTCTCTGAAAGCAAGAAAAATATATTTTTTTAAAAAAATAAGTATATTGTGTATAGTTCAGATTCTGAGCCCTGCATTCTTTGTACTGTCTATCATACCTTGAGACATCCATTAGCACTTAGTAGTATGAGGGAGGCAGTCTCATTGTGGACTTGGTAAGGATGTCAATGATCTTTTTTTAAAATAGATTTTTATTGATTTCAGAGAGAGAAAGGTAGTGGGAGAGAGAGATTGAAACATCAATGATGAGAGAGAATCACTGTTTACCTGCCTCCTGCACCCCCCTACTGGGGATTGAGCCTGAAACCCATGCATGTGCCCTTGACCGGAATTGAACCTGAGAGAGACCCTTCACTCTGCAGGCTGACACTCTCTCCATTGAATGAAACCGTAAAGAGCAGGATGTCAATGATCTCAATAGTCAGGCACTAGTTGTTTGAGTTGGTCCAGTGTTTAGCACCTCTTTCCTTCCCTTCATGTGATTTGTTGTCGATGAGCCACAAAGTAGCTGTTCCCCTAAGTCCCTCTTGTCCATTCTCTGAAAATATTGAAGGATTGACTGGATTGAACTGGAACTTGGTTCCCTCAGAGCCCATCTATTCATGGTGAACTCATTTGATGAGTATTTTTCAATAGCTAACTTTCCCCAGAGGCTTCAGCATGAAGATCTAGTCTCCGTAATTTCCTTGGACAAGAAGAAGGAAATCTGCCTGGGAAACCTGCACGTGTACAAGTTCCCGCTTCATCCCCTCCCACTACCCAGAGGTCTCAGGGGTGCTGGTTCTGATGTCTGATACCCAGCGCTACTGAAAACAGCTCTGGGGGGACTTTGCAGGCCCCAGGAGGGAACTAGTGAAAGATGGTATGTCATGGGCCCCAGTGCAGGCTTTTTCAGGGGAGGTAAGCGGTGTTGTGTTGGGTTTGGGGATACAGCGGAACAGCACATGCTCTCATTGCTGTCGGAGTTTGTGGTAGTCTTTGGAAGGACAGACACAGGAAGACAAAATAAAACACCTTAAGATGTGGTCTCCATGTAGGAGCTCATTGTTTCTGACTTTCTCCTGTGACAAAGGACAGGAGTGGGTGGCCTTTTCCTCATTTCCAGGTCCTTCTGACTGTGACTGTGAGGGGATCTGATTAAGGGCCTGGGTCAACACCTTTGAAGGCACTTTCTGTGACTCCTCAACATATTGTCACCTGAGGAAACATCCCAGACCCCTATCACAACCCGGAAACAAATGGCTGCTTCTCAGGTAAAAGATATGTCTTATGTCAGAGGCTGTGTTTGCTTTTTCTTGAACATCTGTTGATACATTTCTCTTTCTCTTCCCACACCTGTGTCTCCTCTGTTGCCCCTGTTATAGTCTGTTCTGTTACCCACAACTGGCTGACTTCTCAGTGCTGCTTCTCCTCTGCTCTGTCAT